ATTTTACCCCTTTTAAACTAGACATTTAGGAGCACCTGAGTAGCTCAGGGGGTTAAGTGTCTGACTCTTGATCTCAGCTCAGGTCTTGATCTCAGGGTTGTGAGTTCAAGCCCTGTGTTGGGCTCCATGCTGGGTGTGGAGCCTACTTAAAAACAACAACAACAATGAAACAAAAAACTGGACATTTATTCAATTTTCACAAAAATCTGAATCTGTAAGTGTTGTAGACCTACAGTTTTTAAAAGAATGGCTGTAGTTAACTCTTCCCAACCCTTTTATTCCTCTGCAATGTGACCTTGCAGCTCCAACCATCAAGAGATGAAATCTCTGACTCTACTTCTTGAATTGGGGTTGGCCTTGTGATGTTCTCTTGACAATAAAAATGAGGCCTTAAAATTTCAGCTCTCGTACTCTTGGAATGCTGCCCTGAGACCACCATGTGGGGAAGCCTTGTCTAGCCTTGAGAGGTTGAGAGCCCATGCGGAGCAGAGATAAGATGATCCAGCTGAGGTCTACTGGCCCAACTAGCTGACAGAAATGTGAATAAGCCCATCTTAGACCATCTAGGCCCAGTTGAGCTGCAAGATGACGTAAGCTGCAGAACGAACCACAGAATTTTGAACTGTTATTGTTTAGCCACTACCTAAGTTTTGGGGTAGGCCACAAAGTAGAAGAAGAAACCAGTCACCTTGTTGAATAACCATTATGTATGAAGCATCAGGTCAGATACCCCATGGAAGACCTAAATGGAGATTAATAATATTGGACAGAAGACATGGGTGGTCCTGTCCTTCATGTGTGAATACATCTATAAATAAAGTGGCACTTAATATTTATCTGTTTTATCAATTTTTTTAGTATATGTGCTGTTGAAGCTAGCACAATAGTTATCAATTTTAAATATATCTAGTCTACGTTAATAACCTGCCATTATTCCTACAGGTCAGAGCAAGCCTCTTCCTGGAATGCTCAAGACAATCCAATGGGGTAGGAAAAAATAACTAGATATATTATTTTTAATTAATATTTTTCATTTTCATTTTTGAATGTTTTCATATCATATATCATATACATGTTTTAATAAGGTATATAGTATATATTAATATGCTAGTATATAAACATTATTTATATATACATAAATATACATATAATGGGGTTTTCCACAGTCATATCTCCCACAGATCCTCAACCTTCCATCCCTACACAAAAAGTATACTTCTCTATGCTTTGCTTTTCTCAAATAAATGAATTCTTCCTCAGCTATCTAGGGAAGAATCTGTGATAACTACTATCACAGATCATTGTTTTTCTGTACTGTAATTACTTAGCAAGCATGTTTATAAGCATGTTTCAGATAGGGTGTCTATATTCATTCCAGACAAGGTGTCTGTAACTGTTTGTCTTTGGCAGTACAGCCTAATGGCATTATGGCATGATTTTTAGAGTACAGGTTCTGGAGCCAGGTTGCCTGGATTCAAATCCCAGTTCTGCCAGTTATTAGCTGTGCAAACTTAAAAAAACAATTCTCAGCTGAAAATTATTATTGGGATTATTTCCTTAAGAATTGTCTTTTAACTATAATCTCTTTCTTGGTGGAAATCATCAGACCTGGTTTACTGCATATCCACATGAAGCATTTAGAGTTCTGTGGATTTCTATAAGATGAAGATCCACAAATCCATCTCATCTAAATATACTATTGATAGCCTGTGCTAGAAGAAAGGCACACTGGCAAGAATTATTATATACCATAGGGGAAAGGGGTCAAAGAGATCACCTCCCTATCTCCCTCACTTCACAACTAGGGACACTGGGCTCACAGAGGGTCAATGTTTTAACTAAGTCCCACAGCTGATTTGTGATTGAATTCTTTTCATTTGACTTCTGTCTACTTCAGTGCACTTCTCATAACCCCAGTTTTAGGAACTATTTCTATAAACCTTTCGAGTAAAAGTGTATCATTTATATTAAGGGAAGTAAGGAAGCCACAACATAAATAACCAACTTAGTACATGACACATAGTGGACTTTCAATAAATGCTTGTTGAAGTATGGGTGGAGGGATGAATAAAGCCTAGCTGGCTGGCTCAGAAGTCCTCAAGGTTTCTAAACTATTCTGACACTCAGGGATCTCAAGTGGTACCAGCAAACTGGGGCTGTTGAGAATCACTTCGCTCTCTTTCTCTCTTTTAAAGATTTATTTATCTGAGAGAGAAAGTGAAGACTTGAGTTGGGGGAGGGGCCGTGGGCAAGGGAGAGAGTGAATCCTCAAACAGATTCCCCACTAAGCATGGAGCCTGACATGGGGCTTGATCCCACTACCCTCACGGCCTGAGTCGAAATCAAGAGTTGGATGCCTGACTGAGCCACCCAGGTGCCCCTAGTGAGAATCACTTCTTAAACAGAGTACTCAGCAAAGACACAAAGCTCTTCTTTCAATCCTTTTTTTTTTCCTTCTCTCTTCATACCTCACATCTTATTAGATGAAAGAGATAATCAAATATACTTGCTAATTTTTTCCCTAACTATAAACGTAGTATAGACTCACTGTACAATTTTTGGGAAAAAAAATAAAGTTAATAATAGTATTAATAAAAGACAATGTTTATTTAGAGTGCTAATTTGATACCAGGCATGTTGCAAACACTTGACATGTGTTGACATGTAATCCTCACAGCAACTTTAGATTACAAATATTCTACTACTATCACGCCCATTTTACAGATGAGAAAAAAGGTATTAAGTAACTTGCCCAAAGTTTTACAGCCAATAAATAATGGAGTACAGATTTGACTTAGGCAGTATGGTCCTAGAGTCCATGGTCTTCACACTCTTTTACACTGCCACTGATCAAGTTTTGGTTTCTAATGCAAATTATAAGAAAAGAAAAACTAATTTAAAAAGTGATAAATTTGACTAAATTAAAATTTAAAATTCTATACCATAAAATACAATAAGTAAAGTGAAAATACAAGCTACACACCAGAAAAGACAATAGCAAAACATATAATCAACAAAATGGTAATTGTATACAATATGTAATGAATTTCTACAAATCTGCAAGAGACAACCAATACAAAAGAAAAATGAGCAAAGATCATGAACAAGCAATTTATGAAGAAACCCAAATGGCCTTTCAACACAAAAAAGGATGCCCATCTCACTAAAAATTATAGGATGCAAATTGAAAAGACAGATACCATTTCATTTACCAAAATGGGAAAAACTATAAATTTAATAATAGAAGTGTTGATGAAGATATGGAGCAATGAGAACTCTAATACTCTGCTGTCAATTGATATTCCACTTAGAGGAGTAATAATCCCTAGTAATGTTGAGAGAACACATACTCCGCAGCCTTAAAATCCCACTCCTATGTCCTAAAGAATATTCCCAGAGAAATGCATGTACCCAGGAAAAAAATGTGATGTTCATTGCAGCATTTCTTCTAATACTGAAGAAAAATGTAAACTATTTAAACATCCATTGATAGTAAAATGGAATAAGGAAGAATCTATCTAGAAAATACAGAATGAAAAAGCATGTTTCAGCAATATACAATGTGTTATTTACATAAGGTTTGAAAATATGCAGAGCAATACTATATATTGTTTAGTAATATATATACACACATTCAAAAAAAGTATAAAACATGTATGGGAATATACATACCAAATTCAAGATGGTTACTTTTGGGGTGGGAAGTGTAGAGAATAGGTTAAGGAAGAGATAAATATGGAGCTTCACCTGTATCTATAATACTTTACATTAAAAAATTATTTTCTAATGTATATAGGAAATTAAGATTTTATGAATTTGTGTGGTAGCATCTAGTGATTCATTATACTTCCCACACTTTTCTGTATGCTTTAGTTTTACAGATCTTTAAAGAAATACTATTTTTTAATATATATATATTTATTTATTTTTAAGTAATCTCTATACCCAATGTGGGGCTTGAACTCACAACCCCAAGATCAAGAGTCACATATTCCACTGACTGAGCCAGCCAAGTGCCCCAGAAATATTATTTTTTAAAAGAAATATTATTATAGAATGTATGGGGAAAAAAGAAATATTATTATAACCTAAAAGCAAGGCACTAAGATGATAAAAGTTTCAAGATTTTAGAAGTAAAATTAATAATCTGTACATCATTGAAGTAGACTATAAACTCAATTGATACTTGTCATTTCATTAAAAATCTCAAAAGTGGGACAATTTTTCTTACTATTATAAATTAATTTGGATAATTATATAATCAGATGTGAGCTAATGTATACCTCAAATATGAATTTATTTTAATTGTTTCCATAATGGCCAACTACTATAGGCAGAATTGTCCCTATTTTGGAGATGAGTGTCCTAACTATAAATCCTTGACGTGTCCAAGGATAGATCTGGAATTTTAGCAGAATATCAGGGATACAGCCAGGGACCAAGCCTTCATTCCTTTAATATTAGACTTTGTTGTCAAAACTAAGTAACCCAAGGTATTTTCTAGCAGTAATTCTGATGCTTCTATTTTAAAGCACTAAAAACTAAGAAATTTCTAAAAAATTTTTTAAACTTCCAAAGGAAATACTATAATGTGAATCTGCAGAAAGTTAGAACAATTAGCAAATTTACCATTTTACAATTATGTTAAGTACATCTTAACTCAAGTAAACACTTAGGCTGTGGTCGGAGGTATGACCTGGATCCCTGACATGAAATACTTGGTGGATGAAGTTCAAATATAGTCTGTTTACCCATGGATATAAGTGACCTTAATCAAAGCAGAACACCTTTTTTTAAAATGTTGATTTTAAAAACATAAGTGTAAATAAAACTGTGATTTATGAATCTACTAGGGGTGTTCTCTGCTGTAGACTTCAGAGAGATCGAGTCTTTGGCTGCAGCAAATACAGCAAGAGTGCAGACCTGTTAAAGCAGTAATAGGTGCCCTTATTAAAACTCCACTTCCATTAAGAGGTACAAATTGTTTTCCTTCTTTCCAGGCTTTAAAGAATGCGTTCCAGAAGCAGTGACACAGAGGGCTCAGCCCAAAAGCAATTTCCAAGACATAGTAAAGACCATGGTTTCCAAGGGCCTGCGGACATGAAGCAGAGACAGCAAGACAAAGACCCCACCAGTGAGTCAGATGCAATTGTTCCCTGTCCTAAGTCACACGGTGGTATCAGTCACCATGGAGAAGACCTCTCAAGAGATGACCTATTATTTCTTCTGAGCATTCTGGAAGGAGAATTGCAGGTCAGCTGGCTTAGAATTATCCCCATGTTCAAAGAGAAGGCTTCTTGTGAATTTGGTGTGTATGCTGCCATGGAAATAGATTATCTATGGTTCATACCTGTATGTACATCAAAGAAAGTACACATATACAGAATTCCCTTCTGCCAACTGAAAGGGCAATTAATCATATCTGAAAGGGCTGTCATTATGATATGCAATTGGCATGCACCATGTGAAAGATCACATCCTCTGCCCAGGCTGCTCATGAGCTTCAATGCCCAGGCATGTATGAGTAACAATGACTTCTAGATTGGCTTAAATAATAAGAAGCACTTTTATACCCCATGTAAATTGGCTCCTAGACTTGCCTTAGCATTATTAACCTATATAAAAACCTAAAAACAGCTACTATACATATAGGAGAGTCTTATTTCCTACCCCCCAAAATTCAAATGTCAATCCATTTAAGGGTATCATGTTATCTACTTGTCAAACAATTAAAAATGTGGGGTCCCCCCAATGTTGTATAGTGATAACGTTTAAAACATTAATAATGTGTAATTAGATTTTAAGAAGGATGAAGGGACATAATTTTACTGCCTTTTGTAAAAGGTGCTATAAAGAAATAGGATTTGTTTATATTAGAAATAGAAGAAAAAAAGCACTCAACTCTCAAGAAATCAGTTTCAGAGACTGCTGGTAGATAAAGCAAGCTTTCTGAAATGGCTTTTGTTCCTACAGGCTCGAGATGAAGTCATAGGCATTTTAAAAGCTGAAAAAATGGACTTGGCTTTGCTGGAAGCTCAGTATGGGTTTGTCACTCCAAAAAAGGTGTTAGAGGCTCTCCAGCGAGATGCTTTTCAAGCAAAATCTGCCCCTTGGCAGGAGGACATCTATGAAAAACCAATGAATGAGGTATGTATCACATCAGGGGTGTGCACCTGGAAGGTGGAAAAGTTCACTAGCCAGCCAAGCACTAGGCCTGGAAGGTGAGCATGACATATAACTTTTTTTTTTTTAATTTACAGTTTTATGTTCTCACACATTTAAAATCTACCCAAGGTAGATAAATACTACATATTCTATAGGAAAGAATAGGAGAACAAATCACAGATGGGATGTTTCCACTAGGTTTGTTTCTTGACATCAGACTGAAAGCTGACAAATACAAGAGATTTTTTCTCTCTCTCTCTCACACACACACAGAGACACAGACACCCAGACACACACACGTGGTGCGTGCACACACACACACATACGCACACAAGGGACAGCACATATGGGGACTTGAAGGCTATACAGGCTATAATAAAAAACAAAGCTCAAGCATAGAGGTTAATTTCTTTGAAAACACTGAGGTATTATGTCATAGAAATTTTGAGCATGAATGGAAATGATCTGAAGAACTGTCCAAGAAATGGAGTTTTAGGAAACACATATTTTTAGATGAGTGCTATCCTCTTTTTAATGTTTAATTAATTAAAATCCTCTTTTTAAAGTTTAATGACAGCCAAGATCTTTCCCCCATCAAGTGTGCCCAGCAATGACAATAGCAAAGATGCAAAGTCTCAACATGGCCACCATTGCACAAAGATGCCATACTGCTTGCTCTTTTACTTGCTGACATTTCTACAACTCTTTGGCATCCTTATTTTATTCTTCTATTTTCCTCTGAGACCTCAATGGAAAATTTCATAATTTTTCATTTTTATAAAAAGGAAACAACTAGGAGCATGAGTTAAGGCTGGAGAGAGTGAAAGCCAGTTTTGGACAAATTTTGCCCACATGAGCTCTGGCAACCTACCTCAGGGCTGACCTCTAATGTCCTTGCTATTCTCGTCTTGGGTGTCTCATGAGAGAAGACTACTGTCTTGCCAAACTGTGAAGGAGTTTGGTCATATGGATCTGCTTCTCTGAGGGGTAAGGATGAGACCACCCAAAGTCTGTTGACTTGCACTTTAATCCAAATTTTAGAAAGAGGAGCTGAAGCTGCATTCAAGTCAATAGTATTAAAACTGTATCCTGGCTCCCAACATAGTGACTGTGAAACAGCATTAGGCACAAATTCCCCAACTCATATAAGTGCAAATGCAAACTGATGATCACTGAATATATCCTGACAAAACTCCACAAATGGCACAACCTCTCAACACCTCAATGTGAAATGAACAGAATGATTCCAAACTTAAGCTAAAATCACTAGGAAAGTTTTAGTTTAGTTTTAGTTTCACAATAATTCTATTGCACACATGCAAAATTGGAAATACCCTAACTCTCTACAAATGTTTGTCCCTGAAAGTTACCCATAATTTAGCCCTTTATAAATCCAACCTTATTTGATTACTCTTTTATTTTTAATTATTTAATTTATTCAAATATTGTATAACTTAAAGAAACATGAGTGAAAAATAAAGTTTTTTTTTTAAGATTTTATTTATTTATTTGTCAGAGAGAGAGAAAGCACAAGCAGAGAGAGAAGCAGGCTCCCCACTGAGCAGGTAACCGTATGTGAGACTTGATCCCAGGACTCTGGGATCATGACCTGAGCCGAAGGCAGACGTTTAACGACTGAGCCACCCAGGTGCCCCAACTTACTCATTTCTTAACTGGAAGCCTATATCTCCCATTCCTCCTGGCCCATATATTTGCCCATCCCCTACCATCCTTCCCTCTGGCCACCATCACTTCATTCTCTGTATTTATAGATTTGATTATGCTTTTTGTTTACTCATTTGCTTTGTTTTTAAGATTTCATATATGAGTGAAATCATATGGTATTTGTCTCAGTCTGACTTATTTCCCTTAGCAAAATATCCTCTGGGTCTATCCATGTTGTTGCAAATGACCAAAAAAAAAAAAAAAATCTTATCCCTTTTTATGACTGCATAATATTCTATTGTAGATTTTTATATATATATATATATATATATATATATATACACCACATCTTCTTTATCCATTCATCTATCAATGGATACTTAGGCTGCTTTCATATCTTGGTATAAATAATAGTAAATAATGCTGCAATAATCCTTTTGAACTAGTGCATATATCCTTTTTAACTGGTATTTTTGTTTTCCCAGTAGTGGAATTATTGGATCATATGCTATTTCTATTTAAGATTTCTTGAGGAACCTCCATGCTGTTTTCCACAGTGTCTGTACCAATTTACATTCCCACCAGCAGTGCATGAGGGTTCCTTTTTCTCTACATCCTTGACAACACTTGTTATTCTTGTCTTTTTGATTTTAGCCATTCTGACAGGTAAAAGGTGGTATCTCATTGTGGTTTTGATTTGCATTTCCCTGTCAATTAGTGATGTTGAGCATCTTTTCATGTGTCTGTTGGCCATTTTAATGACTGTTTGGGAAAAATTTCTATTCAGGTCCTCTGCCCATTTTTCAATGTGACTGCCCCTTACCTTTTTTGGGGGGGGTGGGGGTTGAGTTGTATAAGTTCTTTATATATTTTGAATATTTACCCCTTATCAAATATATCATTTGTAAATACCTTCTCCCATTCAGTAGGTTGCCTTTTTGCTTTGTTGATAGTTTCTTTCCCTGTGCAAAAGCTTTTTTTTTTATTATGTTATGTTAATTACCATACATTACATCACTAGTTTTTGATGTAGTGTTCCATGATTCATTGTTTGCGTATAACACCCAGTGCTCCATGCAGAACGTGCCCTCTTTAATACCCTTTTTATTTTGATGTAGTCCCAACAGTTTATTTTTGCTTTTGTTTCCCTTGCCTTAAAAGACATATCTAGAAAAATGTTGCTATAGCTGATGTCAAATAAATTGCTGCCTGTGTTCTCTTCTGGGGGTTTTATGGTTTCTGGTCTCACCCATGGGTCTTCAACCCATTTTGAGGTTTTGTGTGTTAGTCTGTGTGTGTGTGTGTGTGTGTGCTGTTAGAAAGTGGTTTAGTTTCATTCTTTTGCATATAATTCTCCAGCTTTCTCACCATCATTTGTTGAAAAGACTGTCTTTTCCCCATTGTATATTTTTGCCTTCTTTGTCATAGATTATTTGACCCTATAAGCATGGATTTATTTCTGTGCTCATTAAGACAAGTGCACATCTAATCCCCTTCACCTATTTCACCATTCCCCACCCCTAAATTCCCCTCCAGTAACTCTTGTTTGTTCTCTGTTATTAAGAGTCTGCTTTTTGGTTTGTCCCCCTTTTCCCCCCCTTTGTTTTGTTTCTTAAGTTCCACATATGAGTGAAATCATATGGTATTTATCTTTCTCTGACTGGCTTATATTGCTTAGCCTTATACTCTCTACATCCATCCATGTTGTTGCAAATGGCAAGATTTCATTGTTTTTTATGTAGATGCTAAGAATTTTTAAAAATTCAATGTAGGCCTTGCCTTCAGGGAGTTCACAGTCTCGTAGGGAAGACAAACACATAACTCAGGCACAGGGTGATCATTTTATAATAGAGATATAAGTAGGCCACAGAAACCAGAAAGGACTTGGTGTTGACATTTGTTCACATTAATACTACACAGCCAACAAAGAACTGATTAATAAGAATTTTAAAAATATGCAAATACCTTGATGCATAATATGATGAAAAACAGACCATGTGATTCAACAGGCCTACTATACGGAGGGCTGGGGCAGGACAGCAGTTAGGTTGCCTCAGAATCAAACATTATGCAAGGATTCCTTTTCTTTATGTCATTCCTCTGACAAGGTTGTTCTGGAGAGAGGAGGAAGTGTCAGAAAAGGGATATGGGGAAATTATTCTCATATCTACAGAGGCACCAATTATTCTCTCTGGGAAAAAAAAATGACAATAAAAAGATTACCTTTGTGTTGAAATGCATCAAAAAGTATCAATTAACAAGAGTAATGATAAAAAAACAAACAGATCAGAAACCCATTGCTAAATTAGTCAAAACTTAGACATTTCTAAAACAGTGAATGAAGGGTTCATTGAAGGGTTTGCAGTAAACACACTATAAATGTATTTTCTTTTGTAGTTGGACAAAGTCATGGAAAAACATAAAGAATCTCATAGACGAATCCTGGAACAGCTTTTAATGGCAGAAAAATCTCATAGGCAAACCATACTGGAGTTGGAGGAAGAAAAGAGAAAACATAAAGAATACATGGAGAAGAGTGATGAATTCATAAGCTTACTAGAACAGGAATGTGAAAGGTAAGGTTACTCTGGACAAGACAATGATCCATTCTGCAAATTCTTTTTCTTTTTTTTTTTTAAGATTTTTTTTATTTGACAGAGAAAGACACAGTGAGAGAGGGAACACAAGCAGGGGGAGTGGGAGAGGAAGAAGCAGGCTCCCCGCGGAGCAGGGAGCCCGATGCGGGGCTCGATCCCAGGACCCTGGGATCATGACCTGAGCCGAAGGCAGATGCTAATGACTGAGCCACCCAGGCGCCCCCCATTCTGCAAACTCTTACTAACCTTTCACTATGGGCTCAACATTGTACCAGGGGTACAAGGAAGAATATGACATAGCTTCTGCTCTTAAAGATCTCATGGTCCAGAGGGAGGAAGAGGATATGTTTAAAGATAATTTGAATATAATGCATGAATAACCAGGTATGATAAAAACTATGGAAACATAAATGCTGGGCACCTAATTCTGCAAGGGAGTGCCCTGTGAAAGCTGCACAGAGGAGGTAACAGGGGTCTAGTCCCTATGCAAACAAGAATGGAAACTATATACAAGGCAGGGGCAGAAATAAGTATCACAGCATAGAGGTAAGAAATAGTATGGGTAGTGAGAGAACTCAACATGACTACAGTATAGGGTGTAATTGCAGGATGAGGAAAGGAAAGGCTAGCCGCAAGCAGATGGATTTGTTATACTGTTGGCAAGTAGGGGCAAATGACAAATTGTGAGAAGAGGAATGAGTTGATCAGGTATGCTTTCTTGAAGAACCATTAGGGCAACATGGGGTAAAGACAGAAGCTTTTGACTGGGGAAGGGTATATGTTCCAATGGCTATGAGGGTAGAGAGAAGAGGGTGTGAACAAGAAAATATTTATGATGTACGCTCAATACTAATGAGTGACTAATGAGACTGGAGAGCAAAGGAAGAAATACAGGGAATTTTGAGAAGCACTCCTGGCTATTCACCAAGGTACAAAATATAGAAATGGTACACAGCTTCTTGTTGGTGAAGGAGATAGTTCAAAAGTGGGGGCAGGTCCTGTTTTAGACATATTGAGTATGAGGTACCTGGTGTATTCTGATGTCTAGTGGGGAGAATGATGTATCTAATTAAACAACATACAGTGGGAAATACAGGTCTGGTAAACATTGGGCTGGTGGTATGGATTTGCAGCTAGTAATAGCTGAAGCCATGAGTTCTGGTATGGTGAGGAGAGAGAATTCTGAGAAGGGAACTCTAGAAAAAAATCAATGGCTGGCTGTTTTCTGGAGGAAAAGGGGTCAAGAAAGGAAGATGAGAAAGAATGATAGAGTGTTAGAAGAACCAGAAGAGAAAGAAAGCAAAGACACCAAATAAGGAAAGACTTTCAAGTAATAACAGAAAAGAAGAAAATGTCCCAGGATTTAGCAACAAGGAAGACACTGGGAAACTTAATGAACCCTTTCAATAAAATAGTGAGGGCAGTAGCCAAATCACAATGCTTTGAAGAATAAATAAGGAAGGAGAATGTGAACTATTATTTTGAGAAGTTTGGCTGCAAAAAATGAGAGACTGGTTGGTAAACATTTTATAACCATATGAAGGACAGAGATTATTTTGCTCCATTTTGCCCCTCTGTTCTGAATCACCTTAGAAAGTATGAAATTCCATTTGAAATGGAAAGGACAATTAAGGTTCTATATTGATAATACAAAGATAGGAAATAACCAATCTTTGCAATGTCAAATTTTATTGAATTGTCATTTCACTCTTGTTATTCCATGTGTACTTCTTTTATGAGTTACAGAGCTAATGGTGCTGCCATTAGCTATGATTTCTAACAATCACAGAAAAATGCAGAAAAAAAAATTACTTGTGACCTCCCTTTTCTAAAATATTAGTAGTCTTAGTGCTTTTTCTAACTACTTATAATTCGTATTTTAGCTAGGTAACTGAGGTTATACAATAGCTAGGTTAATGGCAAACTTTCATTTCTTTTCAGTTTACTTCATGGTAGACACTTGGTCAGATTCCCAGAGAATCCATGGCCCTCACATCCAGTTCCTTTTTTCCACATTCATCAGGAGGTTTGTTTTCTGCTCACTACATGGTGGGGGGGAAGGGGGTCTTGTTACCTTGAGCCTCATGAACTTGAAATATCTTGAGGGGAAGATTAAAGGAGTAGAGAAGTCTGGCACCAAGGGAAGATCTGACTCAGACATTACAATGTAAGATTTGTTATTCAATGAGACAATGTTATATTAAATATTATTTCAAACCCCTGTGGTTTGGCACTCGTGGCCTCATTTGGCCTCCACACTTATTTGGCACTAACTTGCTGAACACAGACACTTCCTTTCATCTTTCATTATTACGAACATGTATTGACCGTGGTTAGAGTGCTGCCTGCCGTAGAACAAAGAGGTACTGGTTGTCCCTGCCCAGGGGGCTTACCACATTACCAAAGAAGGCAAGATGATACAGATTTAGGGTAGGAATGTGGAGGGCTGTCTAAGGTACAGTTTTAATATTCACAGTTGTACCTCAACTATCTTCTTCTGGTGGAAGGCTTAGGAGGACTATCCAGAAGTGTAATGCTGGGAGGCAGATGATGAAGATTATTTAAACCAAGAGAGAGCAAAGAGTAAAACACTGAGATATGGGAACAAAAATTCAGTGGGAATAAAGGCCACGTGCTAGTGGGAAAGGAAAACAGTGAGATGAAAGTAAAATTGCACCCCATGGAATCAATATATTAAGAATGGCATTTCTGTAAGTATCGAAGGGGTTTAAGAGGAAGAATTTAAAAAATCATGTTTTTTTAGCCTTTGGACACAAAGTTTCTTTGTCTTAAAGAATAATGAAAGTGAACATACCATTACCAAAAACAGGAAAAAGTGGCTGGAGTGACTCTCATTCCTGTGTAGCAGCCATTCCAGAAGATATGAGAATATTCACCTATTTCTGTTTGCCAAGGAACAGCTTCCAAATGTAACTCTTTCGATATGAGAATGTTAAACCTATTCTCAACTCACATGATACACAGACAATTCTTGCCCTACACTGCCCGTACAATATCACAACTCCCATTACCTTGGCACTCTTGTTGCATTGGTCCTTCCTGCTCCCCTGCCTTCAACAGGGAGACTGTGGTCATCAGGACTTCCACCTGCGTTAGGGCCATTTGCATCAAAATATTACATGAAACCCACCTAACAAAACAGAAAGTGGGGAAAACTCTAATAATTTCAGGTAAATATATGCAGAGGAGGTGCTTACATGAGAGTGAAATACCATTCATTTGTTTCATTTTCTGACAAGTGACAAAACACGTGCACCATCACGGAGTCCTTCTAACTTTAGTGAGAGTACTTCCTCTTGATCACACAGCCACTCTTCATAAAAGCAAGATGAACTTGTCTTAAGGGGTCAAAGAATAATGTTTACTTCCTTCCTCAAACAAAGTGATGGAAGCCACTTCCAAATCAGTGATCCTAAGTATAGAGAAACAAAGAAAGATATCATAACCCCCATAAAAAGGGAGTTGGGTGAGGATAACTATAAAGAACTATCTGACTGAAACTCTGAAAAAACACTGTGAATGTTTTGTGGTTGTTAAGTGTTGGATAATATCTACTTGGAAATAAAATAAAAATTAAGAAATACATGATTGAGATAAGTTAAAGAAACCTTAGAGGGTGTAATAATGGATTTCAAATTTAGGCTCGATTTCTGTGTTTTCTTTGGAGAATCTGTTTTATGTGGAAAACCCTGAAGGAGACTGATGTCACAGATTGAGTTTAGGCCAAAATGTTTGCCAAGTGATGTCGTTGTTGTAATCAGTAAACAATTGGTTTTCCCATTGAGGGAGGATGGGGGCAGGGATCAGCTCAGGAAACGGTTCCCAAGCACGTTAATGCAAAGTTTCCTTTGCTGTAATCTGTGCAGTTTGGTCTGTCCATAAGGTAATATTGTCCACATTTCATGACCACTTTCTGTGCACTGACCAGCTCCAACGTGTGTATATGTGTGTCACCGATGACCTGAATTATGTACTTGGCTGAATTACAAGTGGAGTCTATGTGAAATGTTTTATACAAAAGCAATGCCAGTAATTTTTGACCTTTCTGGATGGCTTCACAGGAAAGCCAAAACAAAAATCACTTTTAGTCAGTACAATTTTGCAAAATTTTCCCATAAGTGAAATGCCAAATTTGTCTGTACTTTCAAAAAAGCTTGCATAATTTCTTTTTCCTTTTTCAGTTTCAGTGGGGGAAAAGGCTGTGAAGAAAAAAAGTTTCCTTTTTTTTTGAAACCATGCATTCTTTTTTAGAATACAAAAACAAACCATGTATATTAACCATACATGTTCCTGCATTTCGGGCCTTGAAGTAACCACTAGACTGAGAGACAAATATTATGGCAACACTGTATAAAAATGTGGCTTCCACCATGAATTTTTTTTTAAGCCTTAAATTACTTTTCATAATATCTTGGCCAAATAGGTTAGCACTGATACTCTGACTTTATAAAGCAGGAGTTCAAATGCTGGCTTCTCAAAAGCCACATGGTGAAGAAGGAGTCACAGGTAGAATTAATTTCTTGTTCCTGTCCTGCCCAAGTTTACTAGATAGAACAGTGGCTCAGGGGGGCAGAAGGGTCTTTTGAGGAAAGTTACCAGGGACCCAGCTTCAAGGATTGCTGCCTTGACCACACCTTGGGCTAAGTCTTTTGTTGTTCAGGTTTTAGTAAAGAACAAAGCACTTCTACCTCTCCTTTGGCTGAGGGAACTTTTTTTTTTTTTTAATTATTTTTTTATTCTTATGTTAATCCCCATACATTACATCATGAGTTTTAGATGAAGTGTTCCATGATTCATTGTTTGTGCACAACACCCAGTGCTCCATGCAGAATGTGCCCCCCTCAATACCCACCACCAGGCTAACCCATCCTCCCACCCCCCTTGTTTTTCAGAGTCCATCGTCTCTCATGGTTCGTCTACCCCTCCGATTTCCCCCGCTTCATTCTTCCCCTCCCACT